TATAAATATTTACTGCAACCATTTATTTAATTTTTAAAAAATGCTAAATGCGTGTTAACTGAATATAATTTTTATTAAAAAAACTTGCTGGAAGAAAACTACCAGAAAAGGACTAACTTTTTTTATGTGGTTAAATGGCTTCTCAAACAAACATTTGTGGTACCATGACAAAGTGTTCTTTGGTGGTGTAAAGTTTCTGTAGTGCAATCAAATCCTCAGGAGTATAGAGTGGACTGTATAAAATGGTTCATCAAGTATCTTTTCACCTTCCATTCTTTATCACTATATTTTTCTCTGCAGCTATATCCATGCTTATATGAAGTGTCATGGTAGTAAGTTCTGAGAAACTTTGGATTCTATAAAGACAAACAAACATCTGTCGACTTTGCCAAATAAATAAACCACAGAGCATGCACAACAAATAATGGACAAGTGACCAGTGTCCGAATGATGAAATGCTATTCTTTTATCGGACTAATGAGGCCATGAATTTCCAAAAAGACTTTGTACCTTAAACCATTACTTTATATCTGTTTTAACAGTAATCTCCATAATTTCTGAGTAAATTTTCTCATGTAGTTAAAACTTACAAGGATTGGAAAGATCCTGTCTGGGTATATTAGATTTATTGATTATTTCAAATTGCTCATAGGAGTGAATGTGTGGCCCTGCGATGGAATGGTAACCTGTCCAGGGTTTACCCTCCCAATTAGACCAAGGATAGGCTCTAGCTTAACACCACAGGTCTCTGTCAGCCCTGTAGATGTAAGCTTTATATGGAGATTTGTTTTCATGTTGAAGAGGCCACAAGCCCTCTAAGAGGTCACAGATGTGTGCAAATGAGGTGGTGTGAGTCTGGATTGCGCTCCTGGGGAGTTTCAGTGGTAAGAACGGACATGACAAACGTCATCATACTCCAAGAGTTTTGGCCATTGCTACAAAAGTGTGTTTTTTTTGTTTTTTTGTTTTTAAAAGCTGCTGTTGTTATTTATATAAATGTATCCGATGGAACTTTTAATGTCTTGGTGGTTTTGAATCAGAAGGCTTATTGTTTTTCATATGGAAGTTTAATGGATAAATGGAAGCTGTAGACTGATGCCTGTGATTGTACCTCCATTTGTAGCTAAGAGTTTACAGATGAGGACAAGGATGTGTCCATTAAACAATATATATTTACAGGGATTGGACAATGCAACTGATACACCTGGTTTTAGACCACAATCATTTATTAGTACGGTGTAGGGCCTCCTTTTGCGGCCAATACAGCGTCAATTCGTCTTGGGAATGACATATCCTGCACAAGTCCTGCACAGTGGTCAGAGGGATTTTAAGCCATTCTTCTTGCAGGATAGTGGCCAGGTCACGACGTGATGCTGGTGGAGGAAAATGTTTCCTGACTCGCTCCTCCAAAAAATCCCAAAGTGGCTCAATAATATTTAGATCTGGTGACTGTGCAGGCCATGTGAGATGTTCAACTTCACTTTCATGTTCATCAAACCAATCTTTCACCAGTCTTGCTGTGTGTATTGGTGCATTGTCATCCTGATACACGGCACCTCCTTCAGGATACAATGTTTGAGCCATTGGATGCACATGGTCCTCCAGAATGGTTCGGTAGTCCTTGGCAGTGACGCGCCCATCTAGCACAAGTATGGGGCCAAGGGAATGCCATGATATGACAGCCCAAACCATCACTGATCCACCCCCATGCTTCACTCTGGGCATGCAACAGTCTGGGTGGTACGCT